TCCACCCCCTCCCCCCCCCTCACCATCCTCTCACCCCTCCTTCCCCCCCCACCATCCCTCTCACCCTCCTCCCCCCTCACCCCCTCTCACCCTCCTCCCCCCTCACCATCCCTCTCACCCTCCCTCCCCCACCATCCCTCTCCCCCCCTCCCTCACCATCCCTCCCCTCCCTCCCTCACCCACATCCTCTCACCCTCCCTCCCCCTCACCATCCTCTCACCTCCCTCCCCCTCACCATCCTCTCACCCTCCTCCCCCACTCACCATCCTGCTCACCCTCCCTCCCCCTCACATCCTCTCACCCTCCCTCCCCCTCACCATCTCTCACCTCCTCCCCCACCATCCCTCTCACCCCTCCTCCCCTCACCATCCCTCCCCACCCTCCTCCCCCTCACCATCCCTCCTCACCCTCCCTCCCCCATCCTCCTCACCCCCTCCCCTCACCACCTCTCCCTCCCTCACCATTCTCCACCTCCTCCCCCTCACATCTCACCTCCTCCCTCACCATCCTCTCACCTCCTCCCTCACCATCTCCTCACCTCCTCCCTCACCATCCTCCATCCCCCTCCTCAATCTCCCTCCCTCACCATCCTCTCCTCACCCCCTCCCTCCCCCTTCTCCTTATTCTCTATCCGTCGTCTCCATCCTTTACAGCTTAGTTATTACACATTTACTTGGATTTCTTTCAGTTCTTCTTTATTAAATATTCCTCCCTCTTCGTTCATTACGGCCTTCCATTATTACAATATAGCCTTCTCCACCCTTCCTCTCCCTTTCTCCATTTTTTTCCTCTCAATATTTCTTTCTTCTCCTTCACTCTCCCCTTTCCTATCCTTTTAGTCTCCCCTACTCTTCCCTTTCCATTAGTCTCTCCCCCCCCCCCCTCTCTCTCTCTCTCTCTCTCTCTCTCTCATAAACAAACAGTGTAAGAGAACGTAAATAGAAAGAGTTTTTTAATCTTTCAAAACATCAGACAATTCTGAGGGCAGAACGAGGAGGCATCCTCCAACGCAATGGTCTGGGAGTCAAGTTAAGGAGGGAGCAAGTTGGCGAGGGAGCCAGTTGGCGAGGGAGCTGTAAGGGAGCGGTTGGCGAGGAGCAAGTTAAGGAGGGAGCCAAGTTCGGGGAGCCAAGTTCGAGGAGCCGGGTTGGCGAGGGAGCTGTTGGTGAGGGAGCCACGCTGGGAGGGAGTCACGTTGGTGAGGGAGCCGTTAAGAGGGAGTCAAGCTGGTGAGGGAGCTCAAGGCGAGGGAGCAAGTTGGCGAGGAGCCGGTTGGCGAGGGAGTCACGTTGGCGAGGAGCTGCAAGAGGGAGCTGTTGGCGAGGAGTCACGTTGGCGAGGGAGCCGTTGGCGAGGGAGTCACGTTGGCGAGGGAGTCAAGTGCTAGCGAGGAGTCACGTTGGCGAGGGAGTCAAGTTGGCGAGGGAGCTGTTGGCGAGGGAGCCAAGTTGGCGGGGAGTCACGTTGGCGGGGAGTCACGTTGGCGAGGGAACTAAGTCAGCTAATTAGATGACTTACGAACGAAACGGTTACGCACCCAGACAGTGGACTGTAGACTAAACCACGTACCGGCTCGACAAGATAATGCTCCTGACCAGGTGAGGCTTTTAGAATTTTCCGGCCCATTTAATGACTTTTACGAGCTGTAGAGAAATTGTGCGGTGTGTGTGTGTGGGTGTGTGTGTGTGGGGGGTGTGAGTGTGTGAGTGTGTGTGGGTGTGTGTGTGGTGTGTGTGGGGTGGGTGTGGGTGTGTGTGGGAGGTGTGTGGGTGTGTGTGTGTGGGTGTGTGTGTGTGTGTGGGGTGTGTGTGTGTGTGTGTGGTGTGTGTGAGTGTATGTGTGAGGTGTGTGTGGGGTGTGTGTGTGGAGGGTGTGGGTGTGTGGGTGGTGTGTGTGTGGGTGTGGTGTGTGTGTGTGTGTGTGTGTGTGAGTGTATGTGTGGTGTGTGTGAGGTGTGGGGTGTGTGAGTGTGTGTGTGTGTGTGTGGGTGTGTGAGGTGTGTGGGGTGTGGGTGTGTGTGTGTGAGGGTGGGTGTGTGTGGGTGGTGGTGTGTGTGGGTGTGAGTTGTGTGTGTGTGTGGGTGTGTGTGTGAGTGTATAGTGTGTGTGTGTGTGTGTGTCTTACTCACACACACCCACACTCTCCCACACACTTCCTCGACACAGCCACAACCTCCACACACACCACTCTCCACACAGTATAGACGGTGTTGTACAGCATAGACGCAGAGTGTTGTACAGTATAGAAGGTGTTGTACAGTATAGAAGGTGTTGTACAGTATAGACGGTGTTGTACAGTATAGAAGGTAACAGCATAGACGCAGTACAGCAAGGTACAGTATAGACGGTGTTGTACAGCATAGACGGTGTTGTACAGTATAGACGCAGTACAGTGTTGTACAGTATAGACGGTGTTGTACAGTATAGACGGTGTTGGGTACAGCATAGAAGGTGTTGGTACAGTATAGAAGGTGTTGTAATACAGACGCAGTACAGTAAGTACAGCATAGACTTGGTGTTGTACAGTATAGAAGGTGTTGTACAGTATAGACGGTGTTGTACAGCAGGGCGGTTGTACAGTATAGAAGGTGTTGTACAGTAGCAGACGGTGTTGTACAGTATAGAAGGTGTTGTACAGCAGAAGGTGTTGTACAGTATAGACGCAGTACAGTGTTGTACAGTATAGAAGTGTGTACAGGCCAGTATAGACGGTGTTGTACAGTATAGAAGGTGTTGTACAGTATAGAAGGTGTTGTACAGTATAGACGCAGTACAGTGTTGTACAGTATAGACGGTGTTGTACAGTATAGACGGTGTTGTACAGTATAGAAGGTGTTGTACATAGAAGGTGTTGTACAGCATAGACGCAGCATGAAAGGTACAGATATAGAGGTTATAGCATAGTATAGACGGTGTTGTACAGTATAGACGGTGTTGTACAGTATAGAAGGTGTTGTACAGCATAGACGCAGTACAGTGTTGTACAGTATAGACGGTGTTGTACAGTATAGACGGTTATGGCCAGTATAGACGGTGTTGTACAGTATAGAAGGTGTTGTACAGTATAGACGCAGTACAGTGTTGTACAGTATAGACGGTGTTGTACAGTATAGACGGTGTTGTAGCAGTATAGACGCAGTACAGTGTTGTACAGTATAGACGGTGCTGCATGCATAGACGGTGTTGTACAGTATAGACGGTGTTGTACAGCATAGACGGTGTTGTACAGTATAGACGCAGCAAGGTTGTACAGTATAGACTGGTGTTGTACAGCATAGAAAGGTGTTGTACAGTATAGACGGTGTTGTACAGCAGTAGACGGTGTTGTACAGTATAGACGTGTTGTACAGTATAGAAGGTGTTGTGCCAGTATAGACGGTGTTGTACAGTAGACGCAGTACAGTGTTGTACAAAATAGACGGTGTTGTACAGTATAGACGGTGTTGTACAGCATAGAAGGTGTTGTACAGTATAGACGGCTATAGTATAGACGCAGTAAGTGTTGTACAGTATAGACGCAGCACAGTGTTGCATGAACAGACCAGTACAGTACAAGTATAACGGTTGTACAGTATAGACGCAGTACAGTGTTGTACAGTATAGACGGTGTTGCTGTATAGACGGTGTTGGTACAGAAGGTGTTGTACAGTATAGACGGTGTTGTACAGTAGACGCAGTACAGTGTTGTACAGTATAGACGCAGTACAGTGTTGTACAGTATAGACGGTGTTGTACAGTATAGAAGGTGTTGTACAGTATAGACGGTGTTGTACAGTATAGACGGTGTTGTACAGTATAGACGGTGTTGTACAGTATAGAAGGTGTTGTACAGTATAGACGGTGTTGTACAGTATAGACGCAGTACAGTGTTGTACAAGTATAGACGGTGTTGTACAGTATAGACGGTGTTGTACAGTATAGAAGGTGTTGTACAGTATAGACGGTGTTGTACAGTATAGACGCAGTACAGTGTTGTACAGTATAGACGCAGTACAGTGTTGTACAGTATAGACGGTGTTGTACAGTATAGACGCAGTACAGTGTTGTACAGTATAGACGGTGTTGTACAGTATAGACGGTGTTGTACAGTATAGAAGGTGTTGTACAGTATAGACTGTGGTGGCCAGTATAGACGCAGTACAGTGTTGTACAGTATAGACGCAGTACAGTTGTACAGTATAGACGCAGTACAGTGTTGTACAGTATAGACGCAGTACAGTGTTGTACAGTATAGACGCAGTACAGTGTTGTACAGTATAGACGCAGTACAGTGTTGTACAGTATAGACGCAGTACAGTGTTGTACAGTATAGACGCAGTCTGTTGTACAGTATAGACGCAGTACACTGTTGTACAGTATAGACGCAGTACAGTGTTGTACAGTATAGAAGGGTGTTGTACAGTATAGACGGTGTTGTACAGTATAGACGCAGTACAGTGTTGTACAGTATAGAAGGTGTTGTACAGTATAGACGGTGTTGTACAGTATAGACGCAGTACAGTGTTGTACAGTATAGACGCAGTACAGTGTTGTACAGTATAGACGCAGTACAGTGTTGTACAGTATAGACGCAGTACAGTGTTGTACAGTATAGAAGGTGTTGTACAGTATAGACGGTGTTGTACAGTATAGACGCAGTACAGTGTTGTACAGTATAGACGCAGTACAGTGTTGTACAGTATAGACGGTGTTGTACAGTATAGACGCAGTACAGTGTTGTACAGTATAGACGCAGTACAGTGTTGTACAGTATAGACGCAGTACAGTGTTGTACAGTATAGACGCAGTACAGTGTTGTACAGTATAGAAGGTGTTGTACAGTGTTGTACAGTATAGACAACTACTCTCTCTCTCTCTCACTCACTCTCTCTCTGTATCTCACTTTGTATTTTTTTCTTTGTTAAAAACATTGTTAAATATTTCTTTCAATATAAATAATCTTTTATTACATTAAAAAAATTAAAATAACAAAGATAAGTAATGGACTTCTACCTTGGGGTAATGGTTGGGGTGAACAGCCTCCTTCTGTTGTCCGCCGTGTACGACTACGTCAAGTTCAAGAGGAAGGTCACTGACAAGGAGGTCAGGTCCAAGGTGGAGGCCAGGTCCAAGGTGGAGGCCAACTTGGGGACTCCTAAGATTGAGCCCACCAAGGACGGGACCAAGGCCACCAAGAAAGGGACCAAGGCCACCAAGAACGGGACCAAGGCCACCAAGAGCCTGGTGGAGCCCACCAAGAACCGGGTGGAGCCCACCAAGAACGGGGTGGAACCCACCAAGAACGGGGTGGAACCCACCAAGAACGGGGTGGAACCCACCAAGAACGGGGTGGAACCCACCAAAAACGGGACCAAGGCCACTATACAGAACCGGGTGGAGCTCTACCAAGAACCGGGTGGAGCCCACTGAAGAACGGGGGTGAACCCATCAAGAACGGGGGTGGAACCCACCAAAAACGGGACCAAGGCCACCAAGAACCGGTGAGCTCATCAAGAACCAGTAGGGTGGATTTCACTAAGAACGGGGTGGAACCCACTGAAGAACGGGGTGAACCCACTGAACGGGGTGGAACCCACTCAAGAACGGGACCAAGGCCACTAAGAACCGGGTGGAGCCCACTGAAGAACCGGTGGAGCCCACCTCAAGAGCCGAGTGAAGCCCACCAAGAGCGGGGTGAGCCCACCTCAAGAGCGGTGGAACCCACTAAGAGCCGGGTGGAAACCCACTAAGAGCCGGGTGGAACCCACTCAAGAGCCGAGAGAGTGAAGCCCACCAAGAGCCGGGTGGAGCCCACCAAGAGCCGGGTGGAACCCACCAAGAGCCGGGTGGAACCCACCAAGAGCCGGGTGGAACCCACCAATAGCCGGGTGGAACCCACCAAGAGCCGGGTGAAGCACACCAAGATCCGGGTGGAGCCCACCAAGAGCCGGGTGGAACCCATGGTGGTGTCGTGGGATGTCTCAGTACCCAAGTCCTGCCTGGGAGCAGTGGTCGGCCCTGGGGGCGCTAACTTGGCTCGCCTCTCGTACAAGTACTTGGTGGATGTTACACTTCACCCAACATCCGAAACCAAACTACTTGTGACCGGTGTGAGGCACCAGGTCGGCGCCGTCTGCAAGATCATTAAGTCAATGGCTGCAGACGAGAAGCTCAGGCAAAAGGGCCAAGAACTTATAACGTACTCTATGTACATCCGCCCAGCCTTGAGAAGGCACGTGGTTGGTGCTGGCGGTCGTTTCCTCCGCTCACTCGTAAGTTATTATGACGTGGAAGTTGTCGTCCCCAGCTACATCGAACCTAACGACCCAGTTTGGGTCATGGGAGAGGCGTACCGGGTAATGGCTGCAGTCAAGGCCATAAGGACACAAATTAATGCCTCTATTGGCGCATCTCACACATGACTCTGTAGTTGTCAATTACTTCGTTTTGCTATTTTTCTATATTATTTTTCTTCTTATCATTATTGAATATAGTGACGATAAAGTCGGTTCCCATCTCTTATAACCAGCAGACACACACACACACACAAGGCACAGATACACCACATTTCTTGACCTAAAAGCTGCATTTGATATTGCCAATAGACAACTGATATTGTACGATCTAGCCAAAATGGTCATAGGAGGTAGGCTGTTACACTGGATAAGTGGTTACCTAACCAACAGAAGGGCTGCTGCACTGTTTCAGGATTACAAAAGTGAAGTTAAAGTTATGGAGCTTGGTACCCCTCAAGGTGGAGTACTTAGCCCCACTTTGTTCAATGTCCTTATGAATGCATTATTAAATTTAATACCAGACAACCCCAGCAATATCTCAATCAGCTATGATGATGATATTCTTATACATACTAAAACTCATCGTGAAATGCAAACCACCCTGAACCATGTATACGCAGCCTGTGAGAACCTCGGTCTTATTATCTCCACTGACAAAACTAAGGTGTTCAACAAACAAGCTGGTAACCGCAAACACAGCCCTGCCAAGTTCAAGATAGGTAACAACACTATTGACTATGTTTCTTCTTTTAAATATCTTGGTGTTTCCGTCCCTTGTACCCTACCTGCCATACAACAGCTAACCCGCCAATGTACTGACAGACTGAGACCTCTTAGAAGTGTAGCGGGGTACAGCCCGCACTATGGTGCTAATATTAGAATTGTTAAAACAATGTACCTAGGCTATATAAGATCTCTGATAGATTACCACGCACCAGCCCTGGTCCTTCGTGACGAGAAAGGCGTTGACAAGCTTGAGAAAATGCAAAATAAAGCCCTCAGAATTATCCTAGGATGTCCCATGAGCATTAAAGTACTTAATATTAGGAAAGAACTAGGTATACCCATTGTTAAAGACAGAATAATTGAAGTCAACCTCATGATAGCCCTGAGGCTTCTGCGTGGTGATCCTGATAACATTGTTTCCTTAAAATTGCTAGAATGTATGAACCATGGGACTACTGAGTCTAAATGGATCCAAACTACAGCTACACATATGAAGATGTTTGGACTAGACCACCTGTACAAAGTTGAGACACAACAGCGTTTCCTGCCACCCTGGCGGACAGTTCCCTTCGATATCACAATACAGACATATAACAATACAGACATATAACAATACAGACATATCACAATACAGACATAAAACAATACAGACATATTACAATACAGACATATAACAATACAGACATAAAACAATACAGACATATAACAATACAGACATATAACAATACAGACATATCACAATACATATTACATAAATACAGACATATAACAATACAGACATAAAACAATACAGACATATCACAATACAGACATATCACACACAGACATAAACAATATGCAGACATATCACACAGACATATAACAATACAGACATATCACAATACAGACATAAAACAATACAGACATATTACAATACAGACATATAACAATACAGACATAAAACAATACAGACATATAACAATACAGACATATAACAATACAGACATATCACAATACAGACATATAACAATACAGACATATAACAATACAGACATATCACAATACAGACATATAACAATACAGACATATCACAATACAGACATATCACAATACAGACATATAACAATACAGACATAAAACAATACAGACATATTACAATACAGACATATAACAATACAGACATAAAACAATACAGACATATCACAATACAGACATATCACAATACAGACATAAAACAATATAGACATATCACAATACAGACATATAACAATACAGACATATTACAATACAGACATATCACAATACAGACATATACAGACATATAACAATACAGACATAAAACAATACAGACATATCACAATACAGACATATCACAATACAGACATAAAACAATACAGACATATCACAATACAGACATATCACAATACAGACATATCACAATACAGACATAAAACAATACAGACATATCACAATACAGACATATCACAATACAGACATAAAACAATACAGACATATCACAATACAGACACAAAGCATTTATCTCCAGCACACTGCCAAAGTGAGAGCTCTTGAACACATACACACTCTACAGACTGATGATAATATCACACAGACCATCTACACTGATGGATCTCTTAACACCGCCTGTGGGAGGGCTGGAAGTGCTATCGTTGTGACTCAACCTGACGGTAATATAATTAAGAAAGGAGTTAGAATTAACAACTGGGTATCCACTCTACAAACTGGATTAGTTGCCATACTCACAGCTATTAAATTCATTGAAACCACTGTTACTGATAGTCTCATCATCACTGACTCTCTATCCTCACTACTTGCCCTTCGTACCCTCAACTCAAGCTGTCACGCTCTTGTCTCTGAAGCCAGACACAAATATGCGTGCCTTGTTGACCGGGGTGTCAGGGTCAAACTGTTGTGGATCCCCTCTCACATAGGCCTCATAAAACATGACAGAGTTGATGCCCTCGCCAAACTCGCGTCTAACAGACACCGTTGAATACAATTTGGGTCTGTCAAAAAGAACCCTTAAAACTGTAATTAGGAAGGAACTTATTGATGAATTTGACGCAAGTAGACAAGTGCAAACAGGCACTAGTCGATCCATAGTTTACCATGATGAGATGTATCAAGTGAAACATGTATATGGAGCAAGTAACAAGCTCACTAGATTACAAGATGTTGTAACCGCTAGACTAAGGTTAGGATATAAGTACCTCTGGCAGTATGTTCCTCAGGCAGATGTGAACAAGACTAAATGTAAAGTGTGTGGCCAGACATATGGCCACACGCTTGAACACTACGTCCTCGACTGTGTGAAGATAGAACCTTTTAGGGACAGGTCCAAGCACACTGTGTGTGAAATGGCACAACACTTCATCTCTAATGGCAAGATAGCCGACATATTAAGATTGTATCCACTTTTTTGCACTTATTAATTACATCAGTTCTCGTGTACAGAACCAAATACACAATGTGCTTGAATACTTCTCACGTAAATGTGAATAACAAAGTGTGAGGCCAGACATACTGCCTCACCCGCCTGTACTCACGCAGTTGTGAATAAGTTACCCTTTATGTATTGTACTAAACAAATAATGTAATTGAAATACTGTGTAACATTCAGTGCCATAATATCCTGACAACGGGGGTTAATTATTATGACCCGTTTAAACTCTACTCTGTAATCCTTTTGCGTTACCGCTCACAGGATGAGTGTGGGGTGCACAATAAAGTAGCCGCTGTAAGCGGCAAAATCAAAATCAACCTTCCCACACACCCTCCCACACACCCCAACACACCCTCCCACACACCCTCCCACACCCCCCAACACACCCTCCCACACACCCCAACACACCCCCCAACACCCCTCCCCAACACAGGTATATGACCTCTCAGCTACAGGGCCAGGCATCTTAAAACACGAGGAAGAAACCATCCCTTGATACCCTTCTGGTGATAAACTTTACCAAGAGATTCACTACAGGAGACAGACCAAAGCAGCTCCAGTGTAAGGTAGTGAACACACACACACACACACACACATACACCTACTCCTCACACACACACACACACACACACACATACACACATACACACTACCTCCTCCCACACACACACACACACACACACATACACACATACACACTACCTCCTCCCACACACACACACACATACACACTACCTCCTCCCCACACACATACGAAGTGAAAGAGAGGGGTTTTATACACGAGGTAATATGACAGGAACAATGAACCTTCCTGCAGCTGTGGACGACCGAGGCTGAGAGTGGTCGAGGAGCAGGAAGAGGGGGAGGAAGGGGGAGGAGGGGGGGATAGGAGGAGGAGGGGGGAGGATAGGAGGAGGAGGGGGAGAAGAGGAGGCGGAGGGAGAAGAGGAGGTGGTGGTGGAGGAGGAGTAGGAGGAGAAAGAAATGGTCGAAGGAGGAGTAATCGGAGGAAGAAGGGGGAGGAAGAACAAAGAAGAAGAAGAAGAAGAAGAAGAAGAAGAAGGAGGAGGAAGAGGAAGCCATTGTCGACTACCTGTCCATCCCAGAGTGTACGAGCTGAGCGTATAATTATAAACCTTACACCCACCTCACCTCACCTAGCCTAACCTAACCTAACCTAACCTAACCTAACCTCACCTAGCCTAACCTAACCCTCAATTATGAGTAGTGAGATGGTCTTTAGTCGTCCATTAACCTAACCTTACCTTTAATTAGAACCCCCCTCCCCTCCTCTGCATTGGAGGGCAGTGAATGGAGGGTTGTGGAGGGAAGGATGGAGGGTAATATTCAGTGGCCCCTCACAAGACAGTGTAGGCAGACACCGGCCTCTGTCACCCACAAATATTTACTGGTTCCAAAGACCTCGCTTATGTATACATGGCGAGAGAGAGAGAGAGAGAGAGAGAGAGAGAGAGAGACTATCCCCTTGGTCCACCACAGCTCCCCCCCTTGGTCCACCACAGCTCCCCTTGGTCCACCACAGCTCCCCCTCCACAACCCTCTGGTCCACCATGTACCAGACTCATCCCGGGTTTAGTGGTAAATCCTCCCACACTGCTGCATCACACACACACACACCAGTATTAGATCTCCGTGTTTTTCTTCCCTTCTCTCATACATACATACATACATACATACATACATACATACATACATACATACAGAAAGCGTGGGTGGTTGGTAAGATGCTGATATATACACACACACACACAGTACATTGATTTACATATATTTCCTATTGTCCTGATATATAAAAAAAAATCATAAAAACAGTCATATAAATATAATCCCTATAACTAACACGTATATTATAGATCAGCTTTATATTGCTGTTATAGTAAGATACCTATAATATATATATACTCCGGGCGTCACAGAAAACGGGACTCTTTCTTTT